AGGTATTCACGTACAAAGGACGACGTCGACGATGCGGAGTCGTGACAGTTTCGAATGAATTATACGACGTACATGTGATCCTCGCAGTCATTTTTAAGGGGATGCAGCCCTGCGTAACATTCTTAATTATGAAATTCGCACGTCCCTTTCTGCCTTGTGAACTTGTGAACAGCAGGAAGTCATCGTAGCCTTCTCACTTAACGTGCGCATACAGGAAACTTCATTGAGTGGGTTGTTTTAGCAGCTTCCGTTCGCTCGTAAACATACTGCGTAGTATGTCTGCCCGAAAAAATGCGCACTAGGTAAACGGATTTCCGGGACCAAAGAGCGCATGGTTTTCTCATCCTAGCTCTAGAGAACTACAAGCGCGGCCATCAGCAGATAGACATGTCGACCCGAGTCTTGTAGGTGCATAGGTAAACCAAGTTTCTTGCGAGATGCCTCACTTGGGACGCCCAAGGAAGTACCAATGTCGTCATTACATAACCGCTACGATTCTGCAGATCGTTAACAGCAAAACGGCTACCTAAGATCAAACGCTTTGTTGTTAGCGTCTTGCAAATCGAGGATGATTACATGAATCGCCCTTCAAATGACTCAATGTTCTCAGCAACAGAAGCATGTCCTTAATCGCTAGTCTTTAGCGGTCTTTGCTCGCGACGCAATACCGCTCGGTTTCCCACAAGAGGATACGGTTACATTCCGGGCGTGAGGTCAGTAGCAACAAGCGGCGGACTTCCTCCTCATGACCGCAGTGGGAACACAAACAGAGATCCGATCATCAAAACGCGCCCCACTCAGTCATTGCCGGATCAGCCGTCGACTGGAAAATGCCCTTTTCGGGAAGGCCACCAGAAGCAAGCGCCGTCAACAGGGCCACTTTGTATGACTAGCGGCACGCACAAAGAACACGGTCACGCCGGTGTCCACGTAATCCCGCCGCGCCGACGGGGATTTAGAAAAGTTTTCGCCCAGAGGGTAAATCACATAGTTTGCACTCGCATATCCGGCTAAATTGACGTTTTGTACTCTGTCGCTGCCGCACGTTGGTCGTCTCTTCTCCCACTATGAATTCTTCACAAGGAAAGATTATGTACCATCTTTCTTCTAGGGAAAGAGCTCAGGTGCATTTGTGTTTTCCCCGGTTAGGCGTAAAATCCCGGTACCACCACTTAATGATGTAGCTGTAGTGGCTCCAGGCGTGTGTCTTATCTTGGTTTTTCACCATGAACAGCAAGGCTTCGAGAGTTCAGGATGATCAGCCGCAGCGCTTAGCAGTTTACTAACACCCTATTCGCGAAATTGCAAGTATCACTGGGTGCAAAACTAGTTCTGAGCCCTTGACCTGTTACACATGGGCAATTAACTGTGTTGCAGCAAGTGTGGTAAAGGTCGTGCTTAGGCAAAATTGCTTTTACGGTCACACTTGGCGGAAACTGTAAACGGGAAAACCTGATATGCGAACTTCGTGGGCATATGCCAAACCAAATTACAAGTCGAAATTTTAACCGCACAGGTCACGGATACGAAAGCAAGCAGGAAAAAAGCGGGGGAAAATCAGGATCTTAGCTCGCGAGCACTACTTCATTGAAACTGCGGGGTCAACAGAGCATTGAATGAAATGAAGTGCAATGGCGTCAAATCAACAAAACTGGGTCTGGTTCAGTTGAGGACAGGAACGAAAACAGTAAATGCCACTGAAAAGGCTCGAATATCGGCTAAATCCGTAATTCGTTTTGTCTAGACGTAGTTTAGCACTAACGCTAAATGAACTTGTCAGAGCTGTTAGTAAAAACCAGCATAGTCTATGTAAGAACGCTTGTAACGCTTGTTGCCGGGCAGCATACAGAAACAACGCCCTTTTAGGAAGACCTGTACGTACGTAAAAAACGTACGTAAAAACGAAGCTGTCACTTCCTTGGATGCTACGCTCTTTCCGACTCCTTTGTTGCAAAACCTTATTCTTGCACATTGGGTGTGAACATTGCTACGACACCTTTGACCGGTTGCAAACCTACTTATTTGACTCTTCGCTAATAGGTGTTTTGCCCTACATGGTTGTAGCAGAGACTCTACTCGAGTTCAAAAGACCGTCTTTCACGACTACGTCTCTTACTAGTGTCGTCCTCGGAAGCGCTCCATGGTCGACCGCCACCCCGGTGGCACTACTATTCCGAACTAACGTGCCGGTGGTGCCGTAAAAAGCCGACGCTTCTAAATAGCATCACGCCTGTGGCGGAGCTTAATCCCGTATTCTCAGACAACGTTGCGTAATGTTAAGATCGCACTGCGTGTTCCACCTAATCCACATGATGCCATCCATGTCGACAGAAAAGTGGACGCATGTCATGCCAAGTCGCGATATGTTTGGGATATCCGGTTTAGACATGGTCGCCAAGTGGAGATGATGCCATGTGGCATTCTGGAGTGAGGGTGGTGGCAGACGACTGATAAAACACCACGAAGATTTGAATGGTGTCATCCGTTGAACTTTAGCACCCATGAAAATAAGCAGGTAGACCCGAGATGGCTGCTCCTTATGCATGTGATCGCATCGCACTGACCCGGAAGGGCTCTAACTCCAGTAAGTCCATTTGCAATGGTCTACGACAAGTATTGCAAGGCGACAACAATGCTCATCATTATCCACCAATTTGCGCATTCTACGCCCCGAATATAATGAAGTTTTAAAGTGACTCTTCTCGGGGACGATACATTTGCGATCCCGAGGGAGTAGCCTAACACGCCCACAAACGGATTCTATTCGCCTCATAGACGTGCGGAACAAAGTTGGACATTGAATGCGCATAATCCCATTGTCGCTTCCGCACGAAATGCATCATTAACGCTTAGGGACTGTCCATCAAGTATGTTAGCATATCGCTGAGGCAGGGGATAACTGTTTGTCAACCATTGCTAACAACAAAGGAGGAATGAACTCATGCCAATCTACGCAAAACTTAACGGCAAAATCGTAACCGTGAACAGTTGCCTAGGCAGTCCGTTGATGCTAACGTATCACGTATGCACCTGAATTAGGTTCTGAGTACTTTCCCGGTTCAACTTTCTGGTTTTGCAGCTTTATTCCTTCGTTCATAATTCAGAAAGAATTGAAGTGCAACATGTAAGTCTTGTAGGAGCCGCGGTACCGAATCCAACGACGTTGAGCGAGTAGAACGCTGACCTGAACTTGCTTGTTTAAATGATTACTGAGTGTTTTGGGGGTGTCCGACAACTCTCCCCACACGCCCGTTCTAAAATCAGCGGCATATTATGGTTGACGAACCGAGTGGGAGTGGCAACGAGCAAAAACTGTTGAAATAATACCTAAGCACCGACGAAGTTTTTGTTGAATAACGGCTGCTACCACTAGGTTGCGAACAAATTCTGACCAATCAAAAGCATGTTTTTCGGCTTTCAAAAGCAAGGGTTCAAATATTTGGATAGCCCACATGTTATGTAACCCAGGTTTACGAAACGAGGCCAACGAAATGTGTGAATAAGTGCATAAATGGCATTGCTCATCGTTAGATTTCGAAAATTTGGCCAATGGCCAACCGTGGGTGCAAAAACGGCACGGAAAACGTACGGCACAACGGCATCGCGTACGGCACGGCACACTATTTCTAAGCAAGCACTTACCTCTAGGCAACTTGCCGGAAGCCGACCTCCCTTAACTGATTGAGCAGGGTGATAAATTGGAATGTGTTGAACGCGTTGGTATCGATGGAGAGCTCGCGTACAGCGCCTGGGTCCACGGCAACACCGTTTTCGTCAATACGGCAAAGGTTGGAATCAAAAGTGATTGTGCATCGGTCATTAGCGCAGCGCAATTTGAACTCGTCTCCGTTGACGGTGCACGAAGCATGCGCAGCAGTGAGGCGGAAAGCCACGGCACGCTCTGCGAATTCCAGCTCGACTTCAGGCGCTCCAACAGCCAGCTCTTCAGTGTAAGACGAACGCATTAAAACCACGAGTCTCTCTGCGTTAATGTATGCGGTAGCGGAGCCAGAGCTTTCGACGGCAAGTTGGTTCCCGAAGACTGTAATGCGTGATAGCAGGCGTAGCGGTGCTTTCGGAATCCAAGCCGAAATATTATCGTGAAAAAGGGCACATATAATCTGAAGAGTCTCGACGTCGTTTCTAGCCAAGCATTAAAAAATGTCTTGCTGAACTTCGGTAGGTAGCATAACAGAGGTTTACCAAAGAGGAATAAATGTGAATTGCCACTACGCTTATGATGGCTTCCCTTCAAGATAGATACATACCCTATGTTTTCTGAACTTTTCTTCTGAACAGTTTCATGGGAAATTATGTCGGATTCCGCCCTGTACTGCTCGATTAGGCCTTGAACCAAGGAACGAAGCAATCTGGTTCGAAAAAATGACTTTTATTTCGCCAATCCAAAGAAAATAATCTCACGACAAACTAGGCAAGTCAGTGGTAAGCGCGCAATACCGCGTCGAAGAAGCCTGAGTGAGAGGAACAGTACCTGAATTCCCTCGTCTGAGTGATGCTCCGAATACGTGATACCTATTGGCATCAGACAATGTTTTTTTTGGTTACTCTCCGCGGGACGAAAATGTTTAAACCCGTGCTTGACTCCAAATAGCGATAACGCATCCCAAGGTTTGCCAAGTTTCGGGCCATGGTGTGAATAACCGTGATAGTGCAAAATCCACGATTGTCGAAAACGCGGCACTGCAAGACTGTAAGCTCCTTACGGCATCACGTCTATGAGTAGGGTCACCGGTAAATTGCAAGAGGCCTTTCCGCGACATTGAGAGATTGCTAATGTGGCGTCCTTGAAATTGTTTTTTCCGGGTTCTAGATACTAGCATACTTGACAAGGTAAGGTAGACATGCCATCATTGCGTCGTAAATGTTATTTTAGCATGTTTACTGGTTTATAAAATGGTAGCAGGACATGCCGCGCTCTCAAAGCAGTGGTGACACACGCGACAGCCGTCAAAGCGGGAACTCCCGACTGGGATGCGTGTGCACGGATGGCCGAGTGGTCTAAGGCGCCAGACTTAAGGGATACACCCGCTGAGCATTCTGGTATCGGAAACGATGCGTGGGTTCGAACCCCACTCCGTGCAAATTTTTTAACCCTTTTAGCATCAAATTTCTTAAATTTGCGAGGGCCATTTTTACAGCAGTTGTGTTTAGCAAGGTGTGTACTTTTGTAATGAACCGTTTTCGCTTGTAGAACTTCGCCGAAATCATAACGATCGCGTCTCAGCATCTTCCTAAAAAAGCTATGACGAAGAATAATTTGCGAATTACAGGCTAATAGCTAGAGGGTACGTCCACCTTAGACCAATCACGTCTACCACAACGTTTTGGACAAAACCAAGAAACCTTCACACGCTTTCCTCTTCCACGAGGGTCTTCCAGTGGCGGCAGCCGCCTGTCGAGTGATGGATGGCTATGTCCTCGATCTCGCTGACGAGACAACCCGCCTTCTTTCCATGCACTCTCTCATTCCCGCTTGCATGCACATTAAATACAACCAGCGGACGACCAAAGCAAGCATTGGTATGCCCGGCTGATTCCGTTCGTCAAGGTATCCTTTTTGCTTGACTCAACGAGTTGATCCGTTGTACTCGCCTCGTTTGTGCCGTAACTTGGAACAACCGTACTCAGCTCATATTCGGCTTATGCTGGGTAACGCTTCTGCGAGATTGTATTTACTAGCCGGCTTTAGGAGGGTTGCGATGGTATCCTGACGCTTCAGATGTTATCTAGGTTTCTGCGTGTGCTTCAGCGCGGTTTACGCAAACAGTCATCCTTTTGCGACTTGTTGTTCGCGATAGCTGATCCGTTGGGAATTACGCTTTGTCACCACATACCTATGTGACAAATACGCACTGAACGGGGAACTTTGCAGAAGCGTTGGGTTTTAATTCTAATGGCCGTTCAAAGCGATACGCTCTTTCATTACGCTGCCGGTCTTTAGGCTCAAGGTTTGCAATGAGCACAATACAAAGCTTTTTCTTCAACCCACATCACTGCATCCGCAGGAATTCTTCTTAATAGTAAGCACCTGGTCATTCGTTCGCACGACCACGCTTCCCAGAACACTGTTTCCCGAAAAGAGTATCCGTTTGGGAGAAAAAGCCTGGTGGCGTATCTCCGCTGGTTGCTATGACAGCCAATGGTAGGCTAATCAAAAATAAATAGCATTGTAGGACCTTCAAATGAGGTAGAGCCTTCGCTCGCTTTCTAGAAAAGCTGGCAAAGGTCTACATAAAAGACCGGAGGCGTAGGTAATCTGGTTGCACGACTTACTAGGTTTTGATCCGGTAAATGGTTGGCCCTCCAACCGCTCCACTCGCTTTCGAAGATCCTTTTATGATCAAAGCATGTAAAGCGTAGTATTGACCTTGTTTCAGTCGTGAGCAAGACTATTTTGAAGAGCATCCTTCTCCAGCTGAATACTATCTTTTGACTTTTAAGGGTATAGTTCCATTGTCGATGACGCGATTCTTGCTCAATTTAAAGGACTCGTGAACGTTCGTTTAAACGACGTGCTCTTGCAAAGTGCAGACGTCCTTTTAAAACATTTTCGGCCCACTGCCTGCTTAAGCACTTCCTAGACTGCCCTAACTAATGTGATTACTGCTTAGACGAGGAACGTTAATCGTTGCGGTGGAGAAAAATGAGTGTTTTCTTTGTCGCAATGATAACTGTCTTAATGTTTGACAAGAAAGCCGCACGATCTGAAAATACTTCCGAGTGCGTGGCAAGGACCCAGGGAAACTATGCGTCCTTGGTGCGTCGCCAATGTTTATCGGTAAGGCGTGACACGGACCGCTCTTTCCGAAGACGACATTCTGCGCGGTCCACCGAATTTTAGGTAAGTTCGTCCTTTCCACGCGCCTTCTTCCTCTTGTACTTATCACTTGCCGCGGGTGATGCAAATCGAATTAGTTAACAACTGTTACATTTAAGAGCAATCTCCTCGTCTTTACAAGCACTAGTGTCTTGCTTCTAGATATTCAGTTGGCAACGTTGGGTACCGAAGATTTTCGTTCGATTTCTTCTCCTCTATGACCTTTATGTGTGGCGCCCTTTCGACAGCTTTCAGTTAGCGGGTCCATAGCAACAGGTGTCGCTTCCGAAATTCTTGCGTTTCCTGGTGCATGTTGTCAAGAGGTAGTGACATAGTAGCCACTCAGGCTGTCGAGTTCAGTGTCGTCATCCTGGAAGAGGTATGAGAGCGAAGTTCGCACATGTTTGTACCAGCTGTTTGTCTCCGGAAAAATAATGTGACAGTACCGGCAATGTTGTTATGCTTTGAAACTCGTATCGTGTTTTCACTGTTTGTTGCTAGCCACGGTTTCGGTTAGCGATATGAGTTATCACTCCTTCCGTTGCTTACAAGCATGTTGTCTCTTCCCACCTGTGTGGTAACCCGGAAGTGCCCTCTCACTGTTCTTCTTCCTGGCACAGTTCGAGGACACCACAAAGTTCTCCCATTTCAGAACGTCACTTAACCTCGCTGACTCCCTAAATTAAGCATGGGCGGCATGAGCTTAACGCCTCCTATGTGCCCTCACCGCAAGCGTTGTCTGTTTGCAAAAGCGATTAGCAGAAACTGATCCTGTCCGTCAAAGAAAAGTACGCCCCGTGGCTTCCGACCTTCAGCCGACGAATGGAAAAAGTGCTTGCTGACGAACGACGACAGGAGACACTTCTTTGATTAACGCACACGCAAACGCGGGCTTCTCTCGGGATTAGCGGCATGCTCTAATCTCCGTTCGCTTTCACCTTACGAGCCCCCCCCCCCAAACGAGGTTGCCCTCGGACAGGTATAAATAAAATGGAATGAGGCTAGACATCCTTCTTTACAGTCGCTTTCTCCGCAGCGATCCCTGTACCTCAAGGAGACACTTTTTCAACGTTGTGCCTTAGGCTTTTGCAGGCCAAAATAGTATAGGAACAAATAGTTTTTTTTTCTTGCGTTGGATTAGGCCATGCGAGGCTTTTATCTCCCGTAGTCCAAGTTTAGCCCGCTTGTTCCAGAATGCTTATCAGCGCGCTGGAGACTTTGTTGACAAACACTCGTCCCACCACATAAGTGCACTTTACTCTTCGCTTCCTCCTATCAAAAGAACGCGTCAAATGTGTGTCTCTTCCACACAAACCGCCCCTTTTACTATCAGTGTCCGATCGCTTTTCAACACTATTGGCGAGACATGGGAGACGGCTAAAGCACTTGGGTCCTTTGTACCCTGTCGCAGTGACATGTCTGCGACCGCGAGCACTTCCTTATCCGTGGGCTTCCTTCCTCCCTGGCGTCCGTCGCCGGCGGCGGGTTCGTTAGAAATGATATCATATGTTCCACTTCGCTGCGGAATGCTAATTGCCGCCGATTCCCATGACATGGAGAAAAGCCCATAGAGACGCCGACATTTAGAGCAAGCATTCACAGAGCCTTGCAACTCTGAGCACGGTTTTGTTTGGAACAGCCCAATGGCAAATCCGAACGACTCATGTTTGCTTACGGTCCAGGAATAGGTTTCTCCCATTCGTTAATGTGGTTACGCGATGAGTTTGTAGTTGCTCAGCGATCCCTGTCCAGATAGCCGACACTTTGCATTACTTGTTTACAACGCGAGAGGGAGAACACTCGCACGAAAATCCTTCGGTGGTAGCATTGTGGTTGCAGCCTACGCCTTCCTGCAATAATGTTCTTGCAGTCGATGTCATACCAGTTACCACTAACGGAATCACTCAGACCAAATTCATAAACGTCCCTTCCGCCGTTGCCGTGAAATTGTCGTTTTCGCGCAGAATGGTATCTCATAATCGTTATTGCGTGACGAGGGTTCGAATCATTTTGCACGCTATAAAAGGCGGTTTATCCTTTGCCTCTTTCAGGGTTGACCATCAGGACTGCGCATTCAATCGTTCTGCTGGGAAACGCCGACAACTGATTATGGGTACGTTGTCTTCAACGTGTTTGGTAAGCATCGTGCGTTGTAATTTTCTTGAGTGTCCCAAACCGTTAGCTAGACGCGACGTTCTTGGGGAGCTCTAATACAACGATTGTCGTGGAGGGGGTATTGGTTGAGAAGGGAATGGGTGACTTGCATACTTAAGCCAAACGAAGCTGTAGAAGAAGGGTTCAGAGTTCGATCATCCAAGTTTCAATTACGCCATAGTCGCGCGCGCTGCACACTTAGTCAGCAAGGAACGTACCTTTGCATGAAATGCACTAGCACGTACCTCATTGTGGTTTTGTTGAGCAGTTTCCCTTCAGTATTTATGCCCCATCGAATAGCGGCAGTATGCCCTTATCCTACCAAGTTGACAACGTCTGAATCTAGCATCTAAACTCCTGTCGCTGTCTTTTGCGTGTCCTGTTTCCTAGGGACTATCTGGAGAAAACGTCCACCAGACGCGCCAGACAGTCTGACTTTTGATCTTTCCCTCACCGCTTTTTGATGTCCTTGTGTCCGAGACGGATACGAGCAAATCCTCGTGCTCCGGCATGAGGATGGGCCGACACCGCCGCTTTTCTATGATACGCGGCAGACAGACTTTCGCTGCCGCCATCTCCCTGAATGAGAGGGTGGACGGCGGTGCCCGCAGTGATATGTGCTGTCTCTGCGGAGCGCTTGGATTTCAACGACATGCAAGCACCATCATCCGCCCTCAGTGAGCGGCAGTGGCCAGCTGAACGCCGCGTTTTGGCATGCGGCCAGCCGCTCCCGGCGAGACGGACGCACCCCAACGAGGATGTGCTCCCGGCTCTGGAGCGCCTGCTATGTCTCCAAGTCCATCCTCAGACAACGCTGAAGGGCGGATGCTACCCTCCCTCCTGAGCGGGCCAAATAGCGGCACACCTTCTGAAACCGCTTGTTGCTTCCGCTCGAGGTTAGACATGAGAATGAGGCTTGCTTTTTTTC